CTAGGACATGTGTTTACCAAGTAGATGTGTGTCACTATGCCCATTAAAAAGCAACATTAATTTGGGAGCAGGGTTGCCTTCTTTATTTCTCGGACTTAACTCTTAAACAAACACAAGCTTCCATACCCTATCTATAAAATATTGATGTGATTGCGTCTCTGGTAATTGAGAGTCATAGATGCCATTTCTATAAGCTAACTTTTTTGAAACGACATGTTTTCTTTTGGTGGTAAATATTATACTATTATAGGTATAGAACTGAAGCCGTGGTAGCCTACCGCCTCTCAAGCAGATGTCGTGGGTTCGAATCCCTTCGGACCTCGGAGTTTTTGGAATTTATGTCCGAAATTTAATTTGGAATTTACCATGAGCTTTTCGGTGAAAGAAAACGTGATGGAGCCCGAAGAAGGTTTTCAACTCTCGAAAAACGTGTGAAGGACTATGACCTAAACCCTCGCCTGACTGAGAAGACTCGTGTCCAGCAGTGGGACGTATAAGTAGGGTTGATGTTTTTGTTGTTAATAAGGTTTGGAACTTGAAAATGTAGTAGCATAATTAAATGATTACTTAAAAAAATAAGGTAAGGTAAGGTATCTGTATCGCGGGTGCCATGGACACATACATAGACAACCACAAATTACATCCAAACTCAATAGAGAAATAAATGTAGGGCATACAAATATTTCGCCAGACCCGGGAATCGAACCCAGGACCGCTACGGGGCAGTCCAGCATAGTAACCATTCGGCAACAGAGGCAGTTTGATAACTATTTTCCTTTATTTAATTACGAAATAATATCAACATAATATTTTAAAATTTCGAACCAAGCTGCCATGAATTGGTTTGAAATCTTAGGGTCGTATTCCAGATCTCGACTCAATACTCAAGTCAGGACTTGAGTATTGCAGTGAGCACTGAAAATCATACTCAAGTCCTTGCCGTTAGGGTCGTATTTCCAGTGCTTGAAATCATACTCAAGTCTGCTCAAATCCTGACTTGAGCATTGAGTAGAGTTCTAGAATACGACCCTTAGAATATTACGTTCATATTATTTTATAATATATTCCACACACATACCCAACACGCGCTTGTATCGATGCAGTGGCGCGCTTGCATCGCTGCTTAAAATCGCGCTCGTGTGTAACCGTACTTAGTTCTTCAGGGTTCTTTCTGAGGTGATGTCTCATTGAATAAAATTAAGGAAAAATAACTTATTTGTTAAGGCGTCCAGTGGGACGGCCCCCTACTAGATGGACGGATGACCTGGTAAGGGCGCCGGGTAACCGATGGTTGCACGTCGCGTCCGATCGGCTGGTCTGGAAATCTTTGGCGGAGGCCTATGCTCAGCAGTGGACGTCTTCCGGCTGGTATGGTGATGATGATTATGAACTTATTCATTCCTTATCTTTGTCTACTACGAAAAACTAATTTTTGCTTTGCGGGTGAAAAGTCAAAATATGTGCGTGTGGTTCAAATTCTTTTTAAGATGGCTGTTTGTAGCGCTTTGGTACAATCATAACAAATCTTAAAAAATATGCACCAATCAGTTGCACTGGTAAAATATGGGGTGCAAAAATATATAGTATTATCTCAAATGTTTATTTTGTGCAAAATTATTATTTCAGTTACAACATCTTTACCACCCAGCTTATTTTGTCTGGTTTTTCCAATTTATTGTCAGCATAACATAATTGTTTAATAATAATAATAATAAAAGTCTAAAATAGATATAATAATAATAATAATAATAATAAAGACGAGGCGAGAGTTTAAAATAGATATTGTTTTGTCCGCAAATGGGTTAATTCCAGTCAGCCTTTCTAACAGCTCGTGGCGGTTTGATTTCTGTGGCGTGTCGCTTCCAGCACAAATGCAAAAGGCGGTCCTGCTCGATACGGCACGTATTGTTCGCCGTTTCTTGAACCTGAACCCCTGACCCCGGCCGACTGTGCCATTGGCGGCAAATACCGCCTCTCTCAATAAAACTTAAAATTATTTTTTTAGGTCCTGGGAGAGGCGAGAGCTTATAATAGATAATAATAATTATAAAGCTGTAATTTTAAATACATGCGGCACTGTCAGAAAGTTTATGCAGATGGAAGGGGACGAAGTAGGATCTTATTACACACACACACACCACATAGATGCACACCATGCTACATTTACTTGATATCGGCCCGTAAGTGTGGTTGAAACCAGGTAACAAGCTGAGAAAAATAAAGATTATAATAACTCACACACTCCTAAATCCTGCATCGCGGGTACCATGGATACATAAGCAGACAACCACAAATTACACTCAAAGTTACAAGAGAAATGAACACAAATATTTCTCCCAGGCCCAGGAATGGAACTCGAGACCTTTGCGTGGCAAATCAGCATGGTAACCATTCGGCCATGGAGGCAGTTAAACATTCAGCTGCATAATTTAACTGATAACTAAGAAATATATACTAACAGTAGTTAGTTAGTTAGCTTGCTGTCTTAGCCAACAAGTATGGTGTATATCTTATGGTATACCTTTAAAATTTGTAACGTACTGTACATTTGCTATTGTTGTATATGCATCATGTTTGTTTTCCTATACAATAAACAAATAAATAAGTAGTTAAAGAGACAACACTAAGTTGAAAATATTCTCGCAGTCATTGACTTCGTAGGTATGTGCTAGATCAATACTCACAGCCTTCAAAAGTATGTATCCAATACACTTTAGATATATAAACAGATAACACGTGTATTCCGCACAAATACAAACAGAAATAAAATATTATAATCACTTCACAAAGTATATGTAACACAAAAGCACAAAGAAGATACATTATAAGTTTAATGCACATTTATATAAAACACTCATACTGTGAGAAAAACAAATACTGTGAGAATTAATGTATCGTAGAGCAATTATTACAAGACTACCTTAATGAATCTTCTCCAATGACATTCGTGTGACTTAAAAGCCATGATGAAGAACAGTCAAGAACGGAGTGTAAACTGAAAATACAGAATATAGGTGTTGGGCTGTCTTTCACCAAATACCTAAATTATGCAAACAAAAAAATAATGTAGCAATAGAGTTCTTTGTAGAAGAGTTCGTTCAGGGAAACATTGCCACCTTACTTAGGTCTGCCGATAACCAGTAACATCAGCATTACTACAGGCCCATGGGACTTGTCAACTTTGTCTCAGAATGTCGGGCGCAGTGGCAGTGCCTATCTTGTATCTTTGCGATTCAAAGTTCTGAGTACACTGCAACTGTTATGGATAGGTGTGTTTTATTTGTCCCGTCACTATCATAAAATCACAGTTATGCTGCACAAATAGGAATATTAATACTATAAAGTTCTATTACTCTGTAATAAACACCTAGACCATCGAGGATATATACTCGATGACCTAGACAGATTAAAAAATAATGTTTTTGAAAATAGTCAAATAGATTTCATGGATTTCTCATAGATGGTGTACTAATAATAATATCTAATAAGGAGCTCTACTGCTACTAAATCATATTTAATATTTAGTAGCAGTAGAGCTCCTTATTACCTTACCTGTTTCTGGTTTTAAAAGGTAAGGGTGCTGGTGGAATTACGGGTACATGGGACTTATTAACTTATATCTCAGGGTGACGGGTGCTGTAGCAGTACCCCTCAGATTTTTGCTTTATTATATTTATTATTAGATTATTATTAATATTATTTGCCAATTAAAGCTCTTAGTGACACTGCAACTGTTATGGACAGGCGTATAGCTTACCTCACGATTTGTTCCTCCCGTCACATGATATTATAATAAAAAGTAGTAGAGTAATTTCATTTTCATTTCACCAAACTAATTGAATATCATGGTAGAAAAACATCGTGATGTTCAATAAACTTAATATTACAATTAGTTATAATCATTTTTAATCCTTTCATCAGTTCGCAGTAAAGTTCATTGTAATACTTACCCAGTTCAATTGTATTCAACAGTTAGCAACAAGGTCTTTATACGTAATTGTAAAAAATAATGGGATTGTCCTATTTACTTATAATAATGGAATCAGGACGGATGCGACACATAATATGTAGATAGAGTCTAGCCACTATTGTTTGGTCACAATTAATGCTGTGTTTTCTATTCACCGCGTATGTACACATATGCGTAAGTAGAATTTATTTATGACAAATTCAAGGTTGACGGACGCGTAAATGTTCTTAGGTATTAGAAATACCTCATAATAAAATTTAATTTTAACTTGTGAATTTACAAGTTGGTTGGGTGATTTTTATGCTTATTATATATGGCTTTTTTACTTCTACCGATATTTCGGAGCTACGTAATTTAAGAGGCTATACTATTTCTACTATATGTACTAATACGGTTCATATGCTTGAGTCGAGCGGCTGGAACACTGAT